TAGGAGGCAGCGTAGGCTCCCGAGCAACATCCAGGTGACCGGCATCTTCAGTGCACTTTGCACGGTGGACATTGGTGGCGCCATTGCCTACATGAGCCAGGTCGTGACCTTCATCAACTTGATCGTCGTGCACTGCCAGGACTTCCTGGACGTCAGCGCGCTCTGCGGCGCAAGCATCTCGGGCATCATCACGGCCGCCGCTGCCATGGCCCCCTACGGCGCCGCCGTGCATGCCGCCTGTGCCAAGGGCGGCGTCCTGAAGAACCCCGAGAAGCAGAAGGCGATCAACTCGCTCCACACCGTGCCCACTCCCCGGCGCTTGGAGCAGTTGAACGAGCTGAAGGCTGCCGGCGTCCCGCAAGGGTTTGGTCAGGGGCCCGGGTCCTGAATCTTGGGTTGAACAGCAAGGCGTGAAGACTTCGAGGTTGAGATGGGTTGAGGGTTTTGTAGCCGGGCCCACACCTGGCGCCAGGACGCCATGGCGAATCTCAAGGGCCTTCGCCAGGAGTTGGAGGCCAAGCTCGGCTTCAATGCCTCGGTGCCGACTCTTTACTCCGAGGCGAACTTGGAGCAGATGGTCCAACTCATGGACGACGGGGTGGCCGGCGATGGGGAGACGTCCTCCATGCACGGGGCTATGCCGGAGGAATGCGAAGAGTAAGCGAATGAGAGCAACTTAGCTCTGACCTCTGGGCGCGGTATCTGTGATTCGGGAGTTGTATCTTCGGTCCAGATTTCTGTAGCTGAATGACGATGAGTCGCAACACGACAACCTCTGCTTTCTAGGATTCTACGCAATCTAGGCAGTAAATACTCGTGCCTAGGGAGATCTCATTGTCAAGGTGGAGCTTGCATCATACAGTTTCGAACGTTTTTGGGAAGTGGTCTGCTCACGCATTTCGGCATCATGCCGGGCGTGTGCATATCTCTGAAGCTCTTGCGTCGCTCGTCCCCTGTCCAACGATTGCTCCTTCGCACATGGTCAATGCTTCTGCAATGCCTGTGCCGACGGGAGGACGAGCCGCTAGTCCTGCATTGGCCTCACCAGTGGGCTTCAACTACATTGACGAGAGGGGATAAATAGGACCTCGTGGTGAAATAGCCCGAAGGTCCAAAACTTTGCTGCTTCTGCAGCAGCTGAGGCCGACTGATTTTTGAAGTAGCGGCCTCGTCTCTTCCCCTCTCAAACCCTTTCTTTGCGTCCATTGACCACGCGCAAGAAAACCCCATAATATTCGCGATTTCTAGATTAGGTAGAATACTGAAGTAGAAAATGTAAACCTGCTTGAATAGAAAGAAGGGTTTCAAAATTTTATAGAGAATATATTTTTCATCCGGGTATTTAATCGTCTATCTCTGATCCACGGCTTATAGGATATATTCGGTCTACACGAAAAGAGGCTGGGCGATCTATAAAATTAATCTTCGAAATTTCTAGCCGCCAAAATATTTCATTATATTCTCTTCGCTTCGATATATTTTCGTTTTTATTCTAGTATATAAGTATATCGATATTCTATTCATTTTATCTTATCTATTATTATATAATGTTCTTTCAAATTTATGCGAGATTTTGAAACCTATTCGTGGTAAAAAAATTATTCTACGATTTCTCTTTTATTTTGATTATATTCTTATTTCACGATATTTTCGAGTCATTCTTATTTATTATCTTATATTTTTTATTTCTGATTATAAATATTTTCGTTCTTTTCTGGGCGCTGACTTCTGGATAATATATTCTTCGACTCTCTTCGCTTAGATTTCTCGATACAGAAAATCGTCTCTTCACGATCTTCTCTATTCGCACGAATTCTTATTTTCCGTCTTTATAATTTGGCGATGCCGCCTTTTCTCATAACTCCCGATAAATAATTCCTCCTGGCCCGCGACGCTCTCCTTCCTTGATTCGGTCTTCTCCACCAATAATGCGCGCGCAATATTCATATTAGAAATATAAATCAAAATAATGCTAAGATTAGTATTTATAAATTTATAAATAGTATTAATATATATAATAATAAAAAGAAGAATATATTTATAATAATAAGAATAATAAAAGATAATTTTTTTTTTCATAATGATAATAATATAAAAAAAAATAAAAAAATAATTATAATTATAATGAAAAGCTAACCGGTAATTGATATTGATTATAGATATTAAATATAAGATAAGGAATAGGAATATAAAATAATAAGATTAGAATAAAGAATATCAAATATTAATTTGAAATTTTCTAGATATAAAATATTGAAA